AAAATAGGAAGAAAAAAAAAAAAAAGAAAGAACGACAGAAGGAAGAAAACAACGAAGGAAGTATCGAAAAAAAGGATGATATGAAAGCAAGGAAGAATAGTTTGTAATATAACTGCGAAGAAAATTACAAACACCTTCGTTAATATATATAATTGTAATAATATGTGTATTCTAATCATCAGTTTAAAAGACTTTCAAATAAATAATTTATATGAAATATCACTTGGATTATTTCATTGTTTCTGGATTTAAAAATAGAGTTCGGAGAAGAAGTCCTTATGGCTGTGTTGCAGTTAAAGCAATTAATTGCAGTGTTCTTTGCTTTTAGACTTCACATCTTCAAACCTTTAGATGCAAGGTCAACTGAAAAAACTGTCATTTTACAGGACCAAATTTACGGGGGATGGGTTTTTAATACCCGGTACCCACCACCTTTGGAAGTAAAATTTTGTCTGGATTTTGTTCTCAAGTATCTCCAAAGTAAAAACGTCAAATCAAAGAAATAAACATACTGCTGTTTTTGTATACTAAACAACGTATTTGTGTATGGACCCCTTGCATGTGACTTCAAAGCAACTCAATTTGGAAGAGAAAACAAAAGAATTTCACTATATAGACAGACCCCTTGCACGTAACGTCAAAGCAGCTCAATTTGGACAACAAAACAAAAGAATTTCTGTCAATCTCAAGAGAATTGAAAATTTATTTATAATATGTCCTATAAATTGAGCTGTATTTCGATGTGCTGCAAGGGTTCTATAGAAATAGTCACACAGACACAGTATCGAGCATTTCAGCAGGTCTCTGGGGGAAGGGAGGGGGCATTTACCAGTACCAACCTTCTAAATCGATAAAATCGGGTCCCGAGAAGAAGCCCTTTTGGCAGTGTTGCAGTGAAAGCAAGGCCTTAGAGTGATGAGATACTTCACATCCACAAGCTTTTAGGGACAACTGTTATCTTACAGGACCAAATTTTAACCTTGGCCCTTAAAGTTTGGAATTTTGGGGATTAATTTTGAAGCCTATGAAACCAGATTTGGCTTTGAGATTTCTCTCGATTGTTTAAGTATAAAACCTTTTCTTTTTGGTACACCAGAACCAAGGGCTTGAACCCAGTCTTTGGTTTCATGGAACTTGAGAAGTATATCAAATACTAAAAAAGAAAACGAGATGTAAGGAACAGACTTAGGTGAAAAGCGAGCTAGCAGTGGAACGCCCAGTCTCTATTTTGCTTGATCACTGGCTTCATACTTTCTATGATCTAGCGAGGATTGGCCATTTGCAAAACATAATCACATGACTGTTACAGGATGGAAAAAACACTCCATTTAAAAAGCGTTTGCTGGATTACTAATGTCATATCAAAAAACTTCCAAAATGATTTTCTCTCACCCCCCCTCCCC